ATTTGAATTTAGCAGGATTAGAAAACACAAGGTATATATAAAAATTCAGGTCTATGTATACTTGCTATAAATGAATTGGATATTGAAATTTAAAAGTTACGTAGCAGTACAGAAGATCTAGAAAAGTAAAAAGAAAGTAACAGTGTTGGAAGACATTTCGTGTCTAATTTTAAGACTTCCTCGAAAGCTACAGTAATCAAGGCAGTGTTGGCATGAGGAAAGACATGTAGATCAATGGAATAAAACAGAATCTAGAAATAGAACCACACATATATGGGCCACTGATTTTTGAAAGATTGTTTAACATTAACATTTTATAGAACATAAACTCAACTCAAGAGTAGAGGAAAAGATAGTGTTTTCAACAAATGGTACTAGAACACCTGGTATCTGTATGTAAAAAATTAACCTCAACCCTTTATTTCCATACATAAAAATAACTTGAAAGGATCTATCAACCTAAATATGAAAGACTGAAACTATAGAACTTTAAGAAGAGATATACTGTACTATTTTAACAGCTCCATAAGATTCTTTTTTTTTTTTTCTGGCAGTACATGGAATCAAACTCAGGACCTTCTGCTTGCCAGACAGGTGTGGCACCACTGAGCTACATCCCCAGCCCAACTCTATAGTATTCTATCATATGAATATACCAAAAAGATTAGTATTTGGCCGAAAAGCTTGTGCCAGTATTATGTTCACAGGAATGGTAATGCTGAGCTAGCACTGTAAAATGTTGGTTGACATATCATAATCTTTATGTAGATATGTCCCCAGTATTATGCATTGGCATCTTTTCTTTGTTCTTTGTAAGTTCCTGTTATTGTAGCATGCTTTTGGCCACCATTTCTTATGGTTGATACAGCTATTGGTCTCATTCTGTCAGGTTGCAATAATGTTTACAATGCCTTTTAATGAAGTCAAAGGATTTTTACTAATTTTTATCTGACTGGCATTTTTTTGCCATCTGTTTCTTCAGTTAGTCCTTTTAAGGTGTTAACTTGCCTGCACCTTAAACTTTAACTTCCACAATCAAGATTCTTTTTAAAATACTATCTCTAAATACGTGAGACTTTTGGAAAACATTTTAGATATAAACCGTAATATATGATAATGTTGATATGTATTATAATGTTTAATTATTGCAAATTATAATGTTTAATATATAAAACTATACACATACATGTACATGCATGTCAACCAAAATATTTCTCAAATGAATTGCATTATGTAACATATTGCCGTAACAGCAGTGCTCAAAAAGATAACCCTACAGCTAACCCCTCGAGTTGATTCCACCTTACTCCCTTGATGCGCCCCACGTGTATTCACCTCCTATTAATATTGAAATTTCCAGTTCACCATTCTGTACTTGTGCATTTGCTGAGCTGCCACTTTATCATTTTATCATTGCTTCCATGCATTTACTATTAGCTCAGAATACCATCTAGAATTTTAAGATTTTACTTTTTCCTTTCTCAGAGTTAGACCTTGGGAGACCCAGACCCTGACAGAACCTAGTATGAATACTTCCTTTGCAACGTTTAGTTATTAAAATCTACCAAAGGGAGGCAATATTCTATCTTTCAATCCAAAGTAAATAAATCCAAAATAGAAGAATTATTTCTTCCCATCACACAACAGTGTCCACAAAATAGGTGGCTTATAAAGAACAGAAATTAGGCTGGGGATTTAGCTCGGTGGTGCCGTGCAAGGTCCTGAGTTCAATCCCAGTGGAAAAGAAAAAAAAAGAACAGAAATTTTATTTTTCCTGTTCTGTAGACTGGGAAGCCCAAGATTAAGGGGCTAACTGGTTTTGTGTCTGGTGAGGGCCTGCTCCTCGTACACAGATGGTGTCTCTGGCTGGGTCCTTAACAAAGTGGAAAGCAGTTAGCTCTCTGGGGATTTTATAAGGACACTTAATTTCAATCCTTAGAGTTCCTCATGACTGTAACCACCTCCCAAAGGTTCTCCTTCCCAATGCCATCATCTTGGGGGTTAGGGTTTCAGAGTAATTTTGGAAGGGTTGCAAACTTTCAAACTGTTGCTGGCCAGACCAGTTTGTGGATGAATAAGCAATGTGTATTTGCTTCACATTCTTCATGCACATTTCTTTTCCCCTTTGCATCTACTAGGCTATGAGGTAGGACTTTTTCTTTTGAAATGACACTGCTCTAGTAGTAGAGCACTTTGTAGTATATATGGGCCCTGCATTCAATTCTAGCAGTAAAGGGGAAAAAAACTACACAACTCTTTCCCCAGTGGAAACCCCCCCCTTAGTTGTAAAAGTATTTATAAATTATTCAGAAAAATATTACCTATAATTATATTATTTGAATGTTATTCTTTTTATTTTTGTTTGTATATATCCTTCACTATTCAAACTTGTTATGGGGCCAGGGATTTAGTTCAGTGATTCTGGCGCCTGCCGTGCAAGCACAAGGTCCCGAGTTCAATCCCCGGTACCAAAAAAAAGAGAACAAACTTGCTATGGCACATGAGAACTGAATGGATGTATGCAGTGAAGGATATTTAACTTTCCAGTCTTTGCTCTACCCTGCTCATTTTTGGATAGTTGCAGTCATAGTGTTTGTGCAATTTTCACGCACATTCAGTTTTGTGTAAGTGCTCAATGATGCAGCATTCTGAAGAAGATGCTACTTGATATTCCAGCATAAAAATGAGATTCGTCAGTCTTTTGTTCCCAGGGTTTTCCCCTGAGCGTGGCACTTGCTGTGTGGTTCTCTGCCAGTAATTGTGAAAGTGCAGTGGGTCAGGAATAGGGTACTGACTTTAACAGTGGAAGGAACATGGAGAGTGCCGTAAATGTAGCTGGGATACACACTTTTGATTCTTGGCAAATAAAAATAGAATCTTTTTGAAGAACTAGATGTTAGGTCTTCCTTTTGTTCTAAAAGTGGCCCATTTTTCTTTCATTAAGATGAATAGTATTAACCTATAGATGAAAGAACATAGTATCCTCGTAATATCGTGGTATTTCTTGCTAATTGGTATAGCTTCTTTTTGTCAAAAATTCTTAAGTGAAAGTGTCTTCTTTCAGTCTGGCCGGGACCTTCAGCAGTATCAGAGTCAGGCTAAGCAGCTCTTTCGAAAGTTGAATGAACAGTCCCCTACAAGATGTACCCTGGAAGCAGGAGCCTTGACTTTTCAGTGAGTATAGTTCCGACTTCTTCATGCTCACTTAGGTATGAAGACAGTAATGTAGCACCTTATAAGAATGGTAACAAGTTTTTTTAAAGTAAAGGTAACTTTCAAATGCAGTCTTTTCATGGAAGTAACTTCCCTGGCTCTAATTCTACAAAACAAATCTTTGTTTGTTTAATATGCTTACAGTAATTTTGACCCATTCATCTGTGTGTAATAAATTCTGTACTCATCATTCAATAATGAATAAATACTTTAGAAATATTATGGATATTAGAGAAATGCAAAGTAAAACTATTTTGAAATACCATCTTACCCAGGAAGAATGCCTATATCAAAAAAAACCCAGTAATAACAAATGCTGACCAGGATGAGGGGAAAAGGAATTCTTCTGCATTGTTATTGGGAAGGTAAACTAGTACAACTACTATGGAAATCAGTGTGGAGATTCCTCAAAAGCCCAAAAATAGAAATTCCATTTGACCCAGCTATTCCCCTCCTATTTTCCCAAAAGAGTTAAAATTATCATATTACAGGAATACATGCATAGCCATGTTTATGTAGCACCCCATTTTATAATAGTTATATCTTGGAAACAGAGTACATGACCACCAGCAGATGAATGGATAGGAAAATCTAGTATTTATACACAATGGATTACTGCTTTGCATAAAGAAAGATAAACTTGAGGAATTTGTAGATAAATTGATCGAACTTAGGACCTTGCACTTATGAGGCAGGCATGGTGCCAGTGAACTAAATCCCTGGCCCTTGTAGACAAATGTATGCAACTTGAGACCATAATGTTAAGTGAAATAAGTCAGACACAAAGGCTTAAATATTACATGGTTTCTCTTATATGAGATACTCAAAGTATGTATATGCAAATGAAGAGCAAAATGGGAGTTAGATAAATAGAAAGTAGGGAGAGATTCAGATGGTTCCCCAAATTACCTGTTCTGTTGTTCCAAAAATATTTTAATATATATGCTAATTTATTTTATTTATAGTACTAGTTCCTCTTAGTTCATTGAAAAGAAAATTTTGTACTAGTATCTCCTTGTTTCTTTATGAGAATCTTTTGAAGATGTCTTGTCCTGAGTAAGTACTTTGAAGATAACTATACACAGTGTTTAACTTGTTTTTTTCTTATTACTTTATCATGTAATTTTGCTTTATTATTTCATAAAATAAAAAGAAAGAAATTTGGAAACCAATAAGCTGAACAAAAAAAAATATTGTGGAGCTAGATTAGTACTCTTGCTCAAATTTTTACTAACTTGAAATGACTCACATAACTTTTCCAGTTATACTTAACTTCCTTCTATAAACTAGGGAAAATAATCATAGGAGTTTTGTAAGGACCTTAAGGGAATCCATATCTGTCTGTTACTTAGCATCTTGGCTTGGCACACAGGGAATAGTCAATAAATATTACTTATCATGTAGGAAAAAAAATGTAAGGACTTAGAAGTTTCTCAGTCTGTAGTTATAGACGATGTGTACAACTGAGAGAAGGATCAAAGGAACTATTGCATTTTAAATTTTTTACAAATAACTGGTATTAAATTTTTAGTACATGTCAAGTTGGAATCTGATAAAACAGGAAGGATTAAAAGGGAGAAGAGTACAAGAAGAACATAGGACAATTAAAAAGGATCAGCTAATTCCTGCTGTTTTAAGGACTCAGATAATAAAATATTTAAGTTAGAGAGGAGCTTTTGTGGGTTTTACTTAAAGAAAAAATCTCCATTTAAAAGAAAAAAAACAAGTAAGTATAGAAAAACAAAACTGTGGCCTGTAAGAAAATGATAGATACTAGCTGGGTGTGGTGGTGCATGCCTGTGATCCCAGCATTTGGGAGGCTGAGGCAGGAGGATCATCATGAGTCCAAGGCCACCCAGTGCTACATAGTGAGTGCAAGGCCAGATTGAACTAATAGAGACCCTGCCTCAAATAAAAAAAAAAAAAGATACTACATTTCATAACATATTAACTTACATAATATAGTATCTGAATATTCTGCATCTGTGGAATCACCCAAACACAAAGTGAAAACATCTGGAAAAAATTTGTATCTACTAAACATGTACTGGTGTTTTTCTTGTGATTTGTCACTAAACACTCTAACAGTTATTTATGTAGCATTTACATTATATTATTATAATTAATCTGGAGATGATATAAAGTATACAGAAGGATGTGCATTTTTTATGTGAAAGTACAATGGCATTATATAGAAGGGACTATGCCATGCCCGGATTTTGATATCCGTGGGAGTTGTGGAACCGAGTCCTTACAGATACCGAGGGACCTCTGTGTATCTCTACTATGGGTTAGAGAGGAATAGACCTAGGAAAGTTCTCATGGAATTGAGAAGAGATGTTCTGCCTTTTTCCTTTATGACCTTCATAATGTCCAATATTTTACTACCACTGAAGGGCTATTTATTAAAGCTTTATTTTTTGCCAGACCTTGTACTAAATTTTGCTTTTAAGGTCCATGCCTTTAAGTGACTTATCCTCTTACAGGGAGAGAGAAAGACAATATTTAAACCAGTATACTATCTTTATCAGTATTTAAACCAGTATTCTATAATACTTTAGGACAAGAAGTGCTATAATCCAGCCAGGCATGGTGGTGCAACCCGTAACCCCAGTACTCTGGGAAGCTAAAGCAGGAGAATCACAAGTTTGAGCTCAGTCTGAGCAACTTAGCAAGACCCTGACCCAAAATAAGAAATAAGAGAAGGACTGGGGACATAGCTCAGTGCAAAGGGCTTCAACTCAATCCCTAGTACTACCCCCAAAAGGTATAATCTAGTGTAAGTAAAATGCTTTGGAGGAGAGAAGGCGACAATAAATTCCCATTTGTGGTGATGAAGTTTGAAGAAACAGGATAGAGCATACAAAGAAGTTTTCACAGAAAAAATTATAGTAGAAGTGAGTGTATGAAAATGTAAGGATTTCTCTGTAAAGAGCATTGCAGTTAGAAATAACATAAACTGAATTAGAGATTTTTTGAACCTAGCATTTTGAAGAATAGCATGCTATTTAGTGTATTAGACTATATGACAGACTGTGACTTACACATCTTTCAAAGTGCTGTAAGTACTAAGGAATATGATTTTATTTTATAGGTATCAGGGAACCCCTGGAATTTGTAAGCAGGTCAATATGGGCCTATTTACTTTTGGGGAATAAAACTAGTGGTATAGAAGATGATGCAGCTTGAAGGCAAGGAGGCCAATTAATTCAGGGGTTTATGCAAGTAGTAGGACAGCAGTATTATTAATATTACTTAAGGAGACTGAGGTGTCATGTAATAGTCTTTAAATTATCCTCTGTGGAGCCCAAGGATGCCTCAGGAGTCACATAGAAAGGATGGGAATGGGAATTTAAGTAATACTTTAAGTCTTTAAACTCCTACTTAAAGAACGTCTGCTTTTATCTACTACACACATTAGTCTTCTGAATGTAGTTTTGTACTGAAATAAGGAATACTGTAGGTAAAAAGAAATTTGAAAGCCACTTAGTAGCCTAACCTTTATCCAAGAATAGTTCATGCATGTAATCATATAGCCACTTCCAGAATGCCAGGGAGCTAGCTCACTAACACAAGAAATTGGTTCTATTGTTGCATGATTACCGCGTTCTCCTCCTTGAAAATTAGGCAGGTTATTAATCCCGAGGTTTCACTTTCCTGTGTCCAGTAAATAAAGATCTGGGATGTGCTTGTGAAAGACCATGGGTTCAATTTCCAGCACCACAAAAATAAATACATATAAATACTCCTTTGGGGCCATACTTCTAATGATTGGAAGAGATTTGTTTTCTAATCCTAAAGACTTGTAGTTTGAAATTGACTTTGACTTAGCCAGCCTCAAAGGGGTTAGACCCAAGATATCGAAGTTTATAATATTCTAAGAGTCTGCTTGAAACACTTTGATGTAGTTCCTTTGTCTTGCTTTTTTTGTCTCTCCAGCTACATTATTGAGCAGGGAGTGTGTTATTTGGTTTTGTGTGAAGCTGCCTTCCCTAAAAAGTTGGCTTTTGCCTACCTACAAGATTTGCATTCAGAATTTGATGAACAGCATGGGAAGAAGGTGCCTACTGTGTCTAGACCTTATTCTTTTATTGAGTTTGGTAAGTTTTGCCCCTCACTTCTCAAGGGATTGAACTGCAGTGAAGCTATTTGTTACACTAGTATAATACTGATACATTTATTTGTTTGTTTGTTTTGAGATAGGGTCTTGCTATCTAATTCACACTGGGCCTGAACCCACAGCAATCTTCCTACCTCAGCCTCCTGAGTGCTGGGATTACAGGTGTGGACCACCATGTTGGCGTTAACACATTTTTTCCCCTATGATTACTAATGAAATTTTGGCTTCTCCTTTTTCCCCAATTCTTCCACTTCTTTTTGTCTATTTTGGTTTTTGTTATTTTTGTACCGGGGATCAAACTTGGGACCTTGCACTTGCAAGGCTGGCGGTGGAACCACTGTGCTAAATCCCTAGCCCTCTTCTTTTTGTCTTTTTGAATCACATTTTTCTCTTGTCCTTTGATGTTTTCAACACAGAACTTGCCTTTTGATTTTTCCTCACAGAACTTGTCCCTTGACTTGATTTTTCATTAGGGTCATTTGTGACAGGAACTATGTATGAAGATCTCTGCTTGGTTGCCTTGTAACAGCTGAGTTCTTCTGTAGACACGTACTAACAGTAAGACCTATTTTATGGAGATCAGAATTTGGAAACCAGAAAGAATGGTATTTTGATTTTTTTTTTCAATAGAATAAGGTCCACTAAAAAAATATTAGAAGATATATAGTATAGGGCCAGGGATTTAGCTCAGTGGTTCCGCCGCCTGCCTGGCAAGCGCAAGGGCCCAAGTTCGATCCCCGGTACCAAAAAAAAAAAAAGAAGAAGATATATAGTATAGATGGTATTGGAGGATAATATTTACTATATTAAGAAGTAACAAGCACAGATATTTGTAATTGTTTAAGAATTATGAAAAGACTCAGTGCCAGTCAGGCCTAATAAAGTATACTTAATATACACTAAATATAAGGAATGAGTACAAGTAGGATCAGACTACATCACTGATATTTTTAGTTAAAAATGAAATGAGGTATATTATTTTAGACCTTCTGAAGTCTTTCAAGTTTGCTAGATAAGTGGGTCATCCTGCTTTATAGAAATAGAGAAAAATTGACTAAACACTCTAGTGTTTCATAACTATAAACTCTCCAAGTGCTAAATTATGTAATGTCTAGTTTTTCAAATTTTATTTTTGTAGATAATAACAGCCCAATAAACCCAAAGAAAAAAATATATGAGTCACACAGGAAAATAATGCTATACTCAAAGGGTAGATATGAATAGGCTATAAGGGAACCACAAGAAAGAGTAACCTGGGATCAGTAACACAGTAGTTGTTACCATCCCCAGGCCTAAAGGTATAAGGGAAAGGATCAGTTTCTGAACCTGAGAAAGAGCATTTATAAAGGACACCAACTTGAGAAGAGCAGTAGAGGGATGCTGTCAGCCCAAAGTGATTTCTGGGGAAGTCGGGAATAAATGTCCTGACATCACTGTCCACCCTCCTTCCCTACTGTTAGTTCCTTCATTGCCTGATCCTAATCGGAGACCAGAGGATAAGGAGCACCTTAATGTGCTCCATATAGGTTGGGGTCCCAAGGCAGAAGGCAAGGTGCAGAAGGGTAGAAAGGGGATTAAAGAGGCAAATAAAAGTTGTCCAATACACATAGATTCATATTTTACTGAAGTTGAAAATATCTTTAAAGGTAAATCATTCTTCTTATGGTTTTGAGAAACACACAGGCTGAAGATGGATGAAACGGCAGATTTATATCGGTATTTTGGGAAACTCTTGATCACATGTTTGCTTTACCTGAAGTTTAAGAACAGGGCAACATTGGGAAAGTATATTAAAGAAAAATATTTCAATGGAGTATTTCTCAACTATGTTAGCCATAATGATGGTAGAGGGTTTTTTTTTGCCAGCATCCCTTTAGGGAAGGTATTAGACTTAAGTCATAAAACCTTTAGTACCCTCCAAATACACTTTGAAATTTTCGACTTTCAGGAAAGGCTAACTCTAGTAGATTGTAATATCCATAAGGGTTCTATCCCTAAGGAAATCTTCTAACTCAGAGGTATCTGCCTTAATTACTTTTCTCGTTGCTGAGACAAAATATCCAACACCCAAAGTTAAAAGGGAAGAGGTTTATTAGCTCACAGTTTATAGAGGCCTCAGTCCATAATCGCTGCTTCAAGGCACATTTTACAAATGAGAGAATCAAAACCCAGGTTTTTATATGCTCCCCACATGTTTAAACCATGGACATTGCAGATCCAGGAGTGAACTGAGAACTTCTGATGCCCAACTTCATTACTTTAGTAGACAAGAAAGATGTTAATGGTCCCTGTTCTCCGTCGTTCTAGATACCTTCATTCAGAAAACCAAGAAGCTCTACATTGACAGTCGTGCCCGGAGAAACCTCGGCTCCATCAACACTGAGTTGCAGGATGTGCAGAGAATCATGGTTGCCAACATTGAAGAGGTGCTGCAACGGGGAGAAGCGCTCTCAGGTATCTGAAAGCAAGATCTTAGAAGAAGTGGTTCTTGTACCATAGCCAAGGGCAGGTTATTTTGCAGTATCTTTTATTGTTCTGAGATTCCACCCAGGACTGCCAAACACTCATGTGTGAGAGATAGATTGCATTACAAAGCCCTCCTATGTGACATGTCCCGTGTCCCCGTCTCCCCCCCCCCCCCCCCCGGCATCATTTATTTGTTTGTTGAGACAGTTTCTTGAAATGTAGTCCAGGCTGGCCTTGAACTCACTAAGTAGCCCAGGCTGGCTTCAAACTGACAGAGATCCTCCTGCCTCAGCCTCCTAAGTGCTAGCATTACAGGAGTGTCCCACCATACTCAGCCACATTATTAGTTTGTTTTGTTTTGTTTTGTTTTGTTTCATACCAGGGATTGAACTGAGGACTTTGTGCTTGCGAGGCAGGCAGCAGAACCACTGTGCTAAATCCCTGGCCTGCGTTATTAGTTTTTGTTGCAATAAAATTTATTAAAATCTACTACCACCACCCCCCACCACCCCGCCCCGGGGACAGGGATTTAGCTCAGTGGCACAGCACCTGCCCGGCAAGTGCAAGGTCCTGAGTTCAATTCCCAGTACCAAAAAAATCCCAAAAGACATTTAACACCCCCCCAACAACAAAACAAAAAAACAAACAGTGTAAAGGACTCACCCATGCCAGAAGCAATTACTGTTCAAGAATTTATAAAAGTAAGAAAATTATATATGAAATATTTGTACAAAGTTAAGGGAAGTGAAAAGGAAGTGTGAGAGGAAATTATAAAAGATTGCCGTGGTTTCATGAGTAGCCTCTTTGGGAGACTTCCTTGCTGCCAGATTAATCTTTATAAAAATGCCATTTTTATCAAGGCATTGCTCTGCTGAAAAACTTAGTCTGAGACTACAAGAGAAGATCTAGTGTGCTCTCAACTTCCTTTTTATTCATTGTCATTGTTCTTGAGTGCTTATTGTATATAAGCCATTGTGCTCTATAAATAGGGAGATTGCAAACATCTGTTTTTCTCCTCACTTAGTAAACTTTCTCCCTCAGCCAAGTCAGCTCCTTAATGGACAATTCTCACCCATGCTGGACCTATGTGAGATGTAGACAGGAACTGCCTCTTTGAAGAACCCTTCCCTGACCCTTACAGCCCACCTCACATTAATCTCTTCTGCAGGTTAAACTCTTAAAACACTTAGTTATATAATGTTTTTAGCACATAATTGTGTGATGTGATACTTTACATATATACTATATATTTATGTTAATTAATGTATATTGAAGATGTATATTACATAAATCTGACATATTTGAACAAATCTAAAGAAAATTAGGTAAAATATGTAAATTAGGTATTTTTACCTATAGTAATTTTTTTCTTCTTTTGTGCTAGGGATCAAATAATGTACAATAATTTTTAAATGATAGGTAATTAATTAAAATTAGGCAAAAATATATTTACCATATGTATGTGAATCTTTGTGTGCGTGTTCCCAAAGTGTTAAATGTGGGTCTGTAAATTCTTTAATGATAGTGTTTTCTATGAGTTTTATGTTGTTTACACATACTTCTTTTATAGCTCTCAACGGTAATGGTCACAAATAGGTACCTTAATAAGTATTTATTGAATTTAGCCTTACTACATATTCGTGACTAGATAGATTTTCCTGTATCATGAACTGCCAACTTTAACCTTTATTTCATTTTTTAAAATTTTTTTCCCAAATATTTTTATCTGAAGTTAGTTGAATCCACAGATATACAAGCCAGAGATAGGAAGGGCTAACAATATATGATTTAAACTTACAAGAAAAATATCAAAAATGCTGATGTTCATTGCGTTCAGACAGAATTAGAGATTTTTATCCAGAGATTTTTTTTTTTCCTGTAGGTTTTGTAATTTTTTAAATTTATTCATTTATTTTTTTTCTTTTAAAATTTTTGTTGGTACATGTTTGCAGTCCATAATGATTGCATTCACAGTGAGGAGTTGGTACATGTACATAACACGTCTTCTTTTTACGTCCCATCGCACCCCACCCCCGGCTGCATTTTCTTCCGTACCCTCCCTTCCACCTCCCTCCATTTCTTTTTTTCCTATTTTCTTTTATTTTGCTCTTTATTTATATTTTGGGTTTCTTATATAAGAGAAACTGCATTATCTTTAAGCTTGTATGTCTTATTTATTTTACTTAACGTTATGATCTCAAGATACATCTATTTCCTTACAGATGATTCAAGTTTATCTTTCTTTATAGCTGAGGAGTACTCCATTTTGTCTATATACCACATTTTCTTTATCCATTCATCTGCTGTTGGACATATAGCCTGCCCAAGATTTAGCTATTGTGAATTATGCCGCTATAAACATGAGTATGTATATATCACTGAATGTGATGTCTTTAACCCTTTCTGGAAGATAACTAGAAGAGGTATAGCGGGGTCAAATGGAATTCCTAGTTTTAGCTCTTTGGAGAATCTCTGTACTGATTTTCTTCATTGTTAACTTTGTGGCCCCTTTGTCAAAGGTCAGGTAGCTGAATTTGCTTGGAGTTGTTTCTGTGTCCACTGATCCACATATCTCTCTCTCTCTCTTTTTTTTTTGCCAATACTATGCTATGTTTGTCACTGTAGCTTTATAGTACAACTTGAAGTCTGGAATTGTGATTCCTTCTGCCTTGTTCTTGTTTCCCAGGACTGCATTTGCTCTTCTGGGTCTCTTCTGTTTCCATATGAATTTTAGGATTTTTTTCTGTAGTTCTATGAAAAATGCTATTTGTATTTTGATTGGGAGTGCATTAAATCTGTGTATCAGTGTAGGAAATATGGCCATTTTGACTATATTGGTTCTGCCTATCCAGGAACAGGGAATATCTTTCCATTTGTGATACTTTGATTTTCTTTTTCAGATCTTCTTTTCCCTTCGTTTTCATTGTAGAGGTCTTTCACTTCCTTGGTCAGGTTAATTCCTGGGTAATTTTTCTTACACTTGATCTTAGCCAAAAGGCCAAGAAGCAATCTGGGTAATTTTTCTTGATGCTACTTTGAAAGATATTGTTCCCTAATTTCCCTACTTTCTTCCTTGGTGTATTTATTATTGGTGTACAAGAATGCTATTGATTTTTGTATGTTGGCTTTTTATCCTGGTACACTACTGAATTTGATTATTAATTCTAGGAGTCTTTTGGTGAAATTTTTTGGGTCTTCAACGTAGATTATGTCATCTACAAATAATGATAATTTGACTTCTTGCTTTCCTGTACATATTCCTTTTAGTTTTTCTCTTCCCTGATTAGTCTGGTTAATGTTTCAAGAAATATATCAAACAGTGGTTGTGATAGCAGACATCCTTGTCTTGTTCCTGATTTTAGAGAGAAAGCTTTCAGCTTCTCCCCATTTGACAGGATGTTGGCGCCATTGGTTTGTCATAAATGACTTTTATCAGATTGAGAAAAGGTCTTTCTATTCCTATTTTCTTGAAGATTTTTATCGTGATTGGATGTTGGATTTTGTCAGAGACTTTTTCTGTGACATTTGAGAGTGTTGTGACTTTTGTCTTTGCTTCTGCTGGTGTGAAGTAGTACATTTACATATGTAGTACATTTGCATATGTTGGACCATCCCTGCATCCCTGGGATAAATCCCACTTGGTCATGCATGATGTATGATTTTTTTTTTTGGTAATTTACTGCATCTTGTTTGTCGTATCTTATCAAGGATTTTTGCATTGATGTTCATTAAAGAGATTGGCCTATAGTTCTCTTTTTTTGGTTGGATCTTTTTCTGGTTTTGGAATCAGGGTAATGCTAGCTTCCAGGAATGACTTTGGGAGTATTCCTTCCCTTTCAGTTTCATTAAAGAGTTTGAGGAGATTGGTGTTAGATCTTTCCTAAATTTCTTGTAGAATTCAGAAGTGAATTCTTCAGGGCCTGGGCTTTTCTTAGTTGGCACTTTTTAAATTTTTCTTCAGTCTCACTGCCTGATAACTCTTCTTGGTTCCACCTTGGTAGTTCATATGTACCTAGGAATCTATCCATTTCTTCTGAATTCTCCATTTTATTGTTCTCCAGTAGTTATTAATAATCTGGATTTCGGCAGAGTCCATTGTGATTTCACCTTTTTTCATTTTTAGTTGTAATGATTTGGGTCTTTTCTTTCCTTTTCTTGGTGAGATTGGCTAGAGGTTTGTGTATTTTGCGTATTCTTTCAAAGAACCAGTTCTTCAATTCATTGATTCTTCATTTTTTATTTTTTGTCTCAATTTCATTGCTGTGTTCTTTATAATTCCTTCCTTGTACTAGCTTTGGATTTGAATTGTTCTTGTGTTTCTAGTACCTTGACATATATCAATCATTAGGTTATTTATTTGGGCTCTTCTCTTTTTTTTTTTAATGTGGGCATACACAACTATAAACTTCTCTCTTAGGACTGCTTTTATTGTGTCCCATAGGTTCTGGTATGTTGTACTGGCATTGTCCTTCAATCTAGGAATTGTCTAATTTCTTCTTCTCATTGATTATTCAATAGTGCATTGTTTAATTTCCATGTGTTTGCATAATTTCTATGGTTTCTTTTGCCATTGATTTCTAGTTTCATTACACTGTGATCTGATAATATGTATGGGGTAATTTCAGTTATTTTGTATTTACTTAAGCATGCTTTATGGGCTGGCATGTGGTCTGTTTTGGAGAAAGTCCCATGTGCTGCTGAGATGAATGTGTATTTTGTTGTTGGATGGAACGCTCTGTAGATATCTGTTAAGTCAATTTGTTCAAAGGTTTGGTTCAACTCTGCTATTTCTTTGTTGATTTTTCTTTTTTTTTGTCTAGTTGATCCGTTCATTTGTGAAATGGGTATTAAGGTCCCCATAATAATTGTGTTGATGTTTATCTAATTTTTTATGTCCAGGTGTGTTTGTTTTATGAAGTTGAGCACACTGGTGTTTAGCACATATATGTTTATAATTGTTACATCTTCTTGTTGAATTATTCCCTTAG